CCGTGCTCGAGCGCGACGTAATGTGCAGGAAAATGCCGAAGCCTGTAATTATGCACGAGCCAACGCGGAGAGGGACACACGGCCAAGCAAAACACAGACACGGAGAAAGAAAAGGTGATCATTTTCTAATGCGCGAGAAAATAATGTACGATCCGCTGTACAATAAATTTTGGAAAATCCGATCAAGAAAATTGTTTTAAACGATCGAGCCTTAATTCGCACTTTTCAATCAATTTGCGCGAGAATTTATGTATCCTCGGCCAAACTCAGTCGATGCAGCTAGATTTATGAACTCGTCTTGCGCGAGCATTAATATAATTTAATAATCCATTAAACAACGAAAGAATTTCATGAACGAGTCAAGATTAAACAGATACCAAATGATTATTTATGGGCGAATAATTTATTGAAAAAAGCGTTTCGGGACGAAAAATTGGTCTCGTGCATACTTCATGACTTTGTTATGATTTTCCTTTCGAAAATCGTGCTCGGCCTTCGCATTTATTTATTCCCGTACAAAAAAGTTTATTCGTTCGACGTATACGTAACGCGATAAGACTTTTTCTCGACAAAATTAAAACTGCTAATTTCGCCCGATCGGAATCAATTTAAAAGCACAGAATTCTGATAGGCACATTACAACTACTTATTTACTTTCAATACGCATGTACACAGCTGTCCGTTATAATTATATACACAGGCGCATAAATATAAATAGAGCCAGCCGAGAGCATTGGAAACTCGTCGATTGAACGAGCCAATAAAAAAGGTTTTTCGCAGCCGCAGAGAACTAGATGCATATGGCGAAAGCCTCTTACGGAATGTAGTTTTTCCGATAAACGCCCGCCTATACGATCCGTTATATATTATAAAACAACAAGCGACGATATGCCGAGCACTTTTGGGTAATTTTGCCGCGTTAAGAGCCGGCCTAATGATCGAGGCATTGATCCGCGCGTCGATTAAGCCACGTATATGCGTGATTTACAAGCTATAAAATCGTACATATAGAATAAATGTAGCTCGCCAGCCCGCGTAGCTTTTTGCTTTCATTTTTACCTTTTCCCGTTAGCGAATAGCTAAAAACAGCCTGGGTGTAATATCGATAAGATTTTAAAGCTAAAAATCAATCTGTCCCCCTCTCTCGCGCAGGCGTCTCATGCGCGGCATATACTCGCTCACGTGTCAACTGCATAATGTGCGAGAGACGCACAAAGTAGGTTGTACAGCGACTTTTTGATTGGAAACACGCACGGAGGCAGTCGTGCAACTGCGCCTTATCGCCACATCAATATCGGATTTACTAGCTAACTTGCGCTGACGCTCGTTTACTACATCGATACACTTGAGCATTTTTTGCGCTCTCAAGAAAGTCCGGCTTTTTTTCCCTCCTCTCCCGGCCAATTGACAGAGGAAACGGAACTATTAATAATCAGTCAATAGCTCGACGGCGGCGGCGGCGGCCAAGAATTAGCCAAAGGAGGCGGAGATTTATCAGCGGTGTATATTCATGAGATCGCGCCGAGAGAGCCGTTCTCTGTGCTCGCTTATGGAAAGCGCAGCAGCTCTTTTCATCAAAGTAAATCGCTCGCGCCGAGATCGAACGGCAAACGCTAATCGAATCAAAAGCCATTATTAATAAATAGCTACACGAAACAATAATGAGCCTCGAGCCGGTAGGATAAATAACGAAAACGACACGGCACGCGTAGTTTTTCCGCAGCAGCAGCAGCAGCAGTAGCTCTTAATGAGAAATCGCTCGCGAACGCCTGACAGCTGCGACAGATTAATCCGTTATAAGTATAGCAGTAGGCTACCAAGGACTCGAGCCAGATACTGCATCGTATTATAGTAGTACACGTGGTTTCACACGTGCGTTTCCGCGAGAGGAATGACAAAATCTTTCGATAAAACTATACGCTGATTTTTTTTCTCTATATTATATGTGCGTTACATGTAATGCAACCGATCCGGTCATCTGCATATCTCGCAGCTGCCAAGAGACAATCGAATCGAAGCGCATTTGTCAAGAAGAAATGCGCCAAATCAACTGGGTCAGAAAATAGAATTGCTAAAAAGCTCGACGATTCTGTGTGTATCTCGCTCGCTCCGCGTCGACGACTAATAAAATTCAATGTCTTTTATGCAATTCATGCAAACAAGCACGTGCATTGTTTATTTAAGAAAGAAAAAAACGGAAAGAAAAATGAAAAAATAAAAGAAACGTGAAAAAGGCTTTCTTAAAAGCTTCAAGACTCACGACTCCGGCGAGCATTCGTACACAACTTTGTTTGCGTAAATTCACCTTTGGAAAACGCACGTTTCCGAGTTATTTTTTTTTCTTGCAGCTATTTATGCGGCCAACGTCAGCTCACGCGTGTACGAATTTTTTGAGGAAAAAAATTGCCGATGCACGATCGATATTACGTTTGCGCGCGAAAACGTGGTTGAAAATTTTTGTCGTATTTCTATCGATACAGCGAGCCACACGGGCCGCTGAGTATTAATGGACAATGCCAATGACTAATATCATCGGGCTTTCTCCCATGCGATATCATTCCGCGAAAGTACACGCGTATGCGTACTTTTTTGTCTTTGCTCTTTTCATCCATTGTATCCAGGCGCTCGCTCTGTATAGGTATATACGGCCATGAATAATTCAATTTTTGACACACAATCCATCGATGCATTAATCAGCGCGAGCTCACCCATGTACGTATATGAGTCATTTCACGTCAAGTCTCCTAGCGCAGCGCCCGCGCGGCATTATTAATCGAAATTGTTCAATTTGTAACTCGCCAGAAAAGCACCTAAATGCAATCAGAAAAAATATGTGCCATATGATTTTGATAGGAAATTTCCTCAGCTTTCCAATGATGAGGTCAGATTTTCCAAAATTTTCCATTTTTCCCGGAAAAACTTGACATAAACTTTCAAACTCAAATATCTCAAAAACGGCATTTTTAAGATTTTTTTAAATAGTGCCAATCGAAAGCTGAGGAAATTTCCTATCGATATGCAAGTTTTCAGAGAGTACTTTTGATAATTACTCAATGAAATACAGCGACGAACGTGTAAAAACGTGACATTTCGGCCCGTGCGGCAGCTGTTCCCGCGCGCAGTACCCCGCACGGGCCGAAATGTCACGTTTTTACACGTTCGTCGCTGTATTTCATTGAGTAATTATCAAAAGTACTCTCTGAAAACTTGCATATCGATAGGAAATTTCCTCAGCTTTCGATTGGCACTATTTAAAAAAATCTTAAAAATGCCGTTTTTGAGATATTTGAGTTTGAAAGTTTATGTCAAGTTTTTCCGGGAAAAATGGAAAATTTTGGAAAATCTGACCTCATCATTGGAAAGCTGAGGAAATTTCCTATCAAAATCATATGGCACATATTTTTTCTGATTGCATTTAGGTGCTTTTCTGGCGAGTTACAAATTGAACAATTTCGATTAATAATGCCGCGCGGGCGCCGCGCTAGGAGACTTGACGTGAAATGACTCATATCACACTTACGATATACGCACACGATACATTTGATTTCAATTTGCTTCGTGCTCTATTTATGCTAATGCACTTGTATCATCGCTTACAACAAAACAAAACTAATTCAGAGCAAACGGAAGAGTTCAGAAAAATGAGTATCGTGTGTTTGAACAAACAGATAATTTATTCGCTTCCTGCGCGTGGCTCTCTCGCTGGCCTGTCTATTACATGAGCGCGCTGCAAAGCTTTTATATAAAAATAACAAAACAAAAAAAAAGAAGGCAATATGAGCTGCAATCACTTGCGCAAACGGTTCGATCGAATTATAACAATAGGTTCTCACTCTGCCTATTAAATATTCAAATGCGAAAGAAGAGGCACGCGAGAAAAACAGAGAGAGAGAGAGAGAGAGAGAGAGAAAGTGTTTTATCTCGGCGCGAAAAAAGGCTTTGATAAAAGTAACGGTATTTACATGTACATATAAAAAAAGAAGGAAATGTAAGTTTCGTTTGATCTAATTTCGATTGTTTCGACGCCAACAAAGGTAACAAAAAGGACCAAGAGATAAGGTTATGAAGCTTTAATAAAACGTCAGTGTCTCTCATCCGTTTGAACGTCATCGGCGTGTTTTCCCGAAACTTTTGACGCTTACAAAATAGTCTACGATCCACTTTCTTATCGGCCAACAACAATATATGACTCAGGAGCTCTGATAATCGCACTGCATAGTTGAAAAGTTCTCGTTTCCAATGTAGCGTTTCATAATCGTAATTTTAATGAATGAATATAATATACAATATGCATAATTTGGGGGCCGGTGTTGGATTACTCGGACGCGTTGGTCTGACGCACATGCAGCACCTGTTGACAGTCGGAGTCTAACGCCGTCGCTGCTCGGCGTGTGCACGTGTTTCTTCTTCGAATTATCGCTGGGGATCAGTCGCGAACTCGTAGTATTTTTTCCGTGCGTTTATTTTGCTCGACTTTTCACCGTACAGTTCGTCGATAGGTTAATAATAAATATAAACTCGGATATTTTTTTTCGCTCGAACTTTGCGGCGCCGGTGTTATTTGATTTTTTTTCTGTGAAAATAATACGACTCCGAGAGCTCCATCATAATAATACGGGTTCCTTGTACGACAACGAGTAACAACGTATCGTTCGATCGAGTTAATAAAAATTTCGTCGATTGATTTCGCCTACCATTGTTGTTATTGTTGTTGTTGTTGTTGTTGTTTTTGTTGTTGTTGTTTTGCTAGTCGTAGTCGACGTTGAAAAAAGTGTCGCAAAAAAAAGACAGAGAAGAGCCACGGCAGAGAAACGGAATCGCGCGAGTTTTTACGTCATCGCGTCGTGTGTACATATCATATACATGCAGCAGCAGCGCATGTATGCTACATATGCACATCTGTTGTGTGTGCGTTGTGTACCAGCGCAGAAAGAGAGAGAAAGAGATGCAGCGAGTATTATAAAGTAGTGTCGGCGGAGCAAACAAATAAATATACATACACGTAGGCCTTTGGCAGTGCAAGAGCCGGAGTGTGTAGTCGGGTTGCTCGCTGCGTGCTATATACCTATATTTACATGCACGTCTCTCTGGCTGTTGGCCACACACAGCGCGCAAGTATAGCGTGTGTGTGTGTGTGTGTTGTTGTTGTTGTTGTCGTCGTCGTCGTCGTTCCTCTTCTTCTTTATTCTCGACTCTCGCACATAGCAGTAGCGGAGGCTCTGACTAATTTTGCGCGACGATGACTATTTAACGCCGGCGCGCGTAGCCGCTGCTCGGCCGTGTGTTGCATCGGTCGCACGATGGGGCCGCACTTATTAGCACGCTTTATAATATGCACCAACAGCAGGTAATAAACACACACATGCACTTTTTCTTGTTGCTCGCACTCGCGCGCGTTCGTAATTTCCGCCGAATATCGGAGGAGCGTCGCTCCGAGCACGTGTCCGCGCGTCGCAGCTCGCGAGCTATCTATGCTCTCGGCGCTGCTGCACTTGGCTCGCGACTCGCGACTCGAGCAACAGCAGTACTTTGACTACTGCGGCCAGAGAGATATTACAATAACACGGCAGGCCGCAACAATCGCTATTGTATCGTTCCTCTAATCGCGACAAATACCAAACACGCGGCACTGGTGCGGTGGACGCGGACTGCAGCTAACACGAGGCTCGATTACATGTAGGTACGAGTCGGAGCCAAGAAACAAACAAACTGCGCCAAGGCGCGCGCGCGCGCGACGATGACAGCTCTCGGCGCGTTTTGACACCTTTTCGAACGTAAAGAGGGGCCCCGCGCGCGCACACGTCGAGCCTCTTCTGCATAGGCCACAGTGTCTGCCTTTTAATAATAACTCTTTCGCGCTGCACACTCTACTCGTGGTCTGCTGGCGCTGCTCATGCAGATACAGCCGGGCAGGCAATAATACGAGAGCACATGTGCGAGCTGTGCAGCTCGTCTCGACTCTCGAGCGCTGCAACTATATACACACACACGACTGTAGGAGCTGCTGGCGCTGCTGCTACTACTACTCGGCCCCCACGTAGTTGTTGTTTGTCTCTCGCGCGCAACGCAGCGTATATATCGTATAGCTAGCGGCCTGTTTACATGTTGACTCTGTTTACTCGTTTTGCTGTCGTTTCGCCTCTGCTAGTAGTGAGCGAGTTCGCGCGCGCGCGCGTGTGTGTGTGTGTGTGTGTGCGAGTGCAGTGTATACATTGCATATAACGCGCACCGACACACGCACGTGCACACGGACACATATTGGAGAGCTCCGCTCGACGCTGCTCCCCCCTCGCCGCCACTACCACCTACCTCCTCTTCTTTGGCTCGGTTTATTATATGCCGCTCGCACGCTTCCCGTTTCTCGCGCGGACCAGCTATATAAGCTTATAGCTACATGTGTGTGCGCGCCGACTCGCTATTCCGACACGTCGTTGCTAGCGCGAGTAGCTGCTCTCGTGCGAGCGCAAATCCTTCCCTCCTCCTCCTATAGATGCTATAACAACGTGCCTCCGCATCTCTGTACCATATCGACTCGATACTTTCTGTGTGTGCGATTCGATGCACGCGATTATGCGCCTCACACACATTGTCGCCGCGATAAGTGCGAGCGAGCCTACTATACTACTGTGCGTCGTCGGGCCGGCTCCCGAATCAGTCGCGTGCACGCGTGCCTTTACCTCCTCCACCTACTTATACGACTCATCTCTCGAATTTTTCTCGAAATTTATTTCCAAGTCCACTCGATCGGGGCCAAATATTTTTCAGCTCCAGTGGGTCGAGTGCGTCGAGTCTCGAGGCGATTGGTAAATGCTAATATTTGACGCTAGCTGCAATAGAGCCCCGCGCTCGACGTGTCACTTGCATATTTTATCATGACAATGCTCCAACTTATGAGTGTGCACCCGTCCGTGTTACCTAATCCAGCGTATCGCCTCTCGTATATATAACGCACACAACAACACCTCTCGACCTGCCCGAGCTCATAGCTAAATATTGAATTTCAAATTTATTATATAGCCGCGCTGCACTTATGAGCAATGTGGCAGCGAGCGAGTGGCGATTTTTTTTTTTTTTTTTGATCGTATCGACCATCTTAGTTAGGCAGTTCTACTTACCCGAATCTCGGCGTCCGAACTGCACACTTTCATCGATCGCGGGATCGGTCGAGCACGAGGAAAAAAGAAGCGGAGAATCGAACTCGATGTGCGTCTTAATGGCAATTTAATTGCGCATGTATTTGTTATTACGCTAGCCGCGAGCTGCTTTGTGCGCGCCTTAGATATTTATTTCATGCATCGGCACTTCCTTGTTTCTCGCGCGCGAGCGACGCCACCGACGACGTCGACTTTATAAAACATATATAATAAGATGTACAATTGAAGAAGAAGAAGAAGAAAAAAAAGAGTCTTATATACGTATCTATGCACGCGCTTCGAGTGGCCGTTGCGTAACTTTTTGCGTTCGCGATCGTCATGTGTACACACAACAAAGTATATCGCGCGAGCCTCGATACGTGTGCACTTCATCTTGGAGCATTATCTCTCGTCGATCGAGTGCGAAAAATGCAAATATCGAGGCTCGTTCGATCGCGCGCGGCAACCGTTGGCCGACAGTGGCGCGCAGGATCGCCGCGGTACATATACTAGAAGAGCATCGACCAAAGGCAAAAAGTCGAGCGAGAAAAATAGCCGCGCGAGAGGAGCAACGATAAAAAACGCCACGAGCGCCATAAAAAGCTTTTTTTTCTTCGCGAGTCCGCGCGAATCGAGCGACAAGCTCGAGCGTCCGATGACGTTTTTATATATGTATATATAACCTACCTATACACACACACACACACGCATGCTCGAGCTGACTGTCAAGTCCACGGCTAAATAAGCGACGCGATCGTACATATGCGGCGCGAGCCGCGACTTTTTCGATTTTTAATGCGCAAACCTCATTGGACGCGAGTCTCGTGTACGCTTTGCTTATGCACGCACTTTTACATGGCTGGTCTAGTTTCCCCTCGCGTATACGACTGGCTTAACCGTTTTAATTAAACGAAAGCACTTTGAGGAAAATTAATGCAAAGACCGAGTGTAAAATATCGATCCATCTTCGCACTGTTTGGCGAGTCGATGGAGTTTTTCGACTTTTGCGGCCAGCGAAATAAAAAAAACAACCAATTGAAATCTATGTAAGGAACACGGAGTTCTCTCTCGTATGCGCAATTGGGAGCTGGTCTCCATTATAAAAGTAAGAAAAAACGGAAGCTTGTCTATATTATTACAGCACAAGGATAGATAAGCTTTCACCGTATTAAAACAAATCGCAATTATAAAATAACTCGAAACCAATAAGCCGTATACGCGGGCACGCACGCGTAGATGGCTATAGGTGTAGCAGCTGCAGTAGGTAATTTTACTTTCCTGGCGCGAAAATCGAGCGATTACAAAAAGTCGAGGCTCTCTTGTTTAATATTTTCCTATACACGGCCAGGCTATATAAACGCGCTCGAGCATGCACGCATAGTGCATACATACATATACGAGAGGCGTGTATAGGCGCGCATTTTTAATGCTTTTATATAGGAGATTATCATCTGCGCGGCGGCGCAAGCGCAGCGCTCCAACATCCTGCTTATTACGAAATGCAAAGCCGCGAGTATAAGCGTTCACTTTTTCGTCAAGTCGCGATCTGTCGGAGAGCGTCGAGCGGTAGCTGCTGCTGCTGCGCTACATATAATAGGTTTTTTGCGAATCTCGATGCGGCTGAGATGCAACAACGAGGGACGCGTGTCGCAACGTACGGCTTATAGCATAGCTCTCGGCGTGGGTGACGGGATGCCGATGATGAGATTCGATTGGAATATACACGCTGCTTTGGAGCGAGAGAGGGCTTTTCTCGGAAAATCGCAATTGTAAGCGACGATGACGACTGATACGAGCGCGAGATCCTGTATCGCTAACGCATGCATCGCATACGTGTATACGCTTACGCATATCTCATGCTACTTACCTCGGCGATCGATCGTAAATTTCATTTCGTTACGATACTTTTGAATTTATGCGACGCGATGACGACTGCCTAGGCGACATTTTATACGTACTACGGCGTATAACATGCGTATACATCATCGCGCGCGAGGATAATAATCCAATTCGTCGTCGTTGTCGCTGTCTTTGAAAATTGCAACAGTCTGCAGATATCTGTCACACGTGCAAGTAATATCGCGTAGCCTCGCACTGCAGCGGCATAAGCAGCGTGAACAGCGTGAGCAGCAGCAGCAGCAGCAGCGGTGCAACGCTCTACTTAACAGTATAGAAGACGCGACGTTACGCAGGCGCCTCGGCTTTGTGTATTCTAGTATACGCTCGCGCATATATGTATATATGCGTGCCCCCGAGCTCTATTTAGAAGAAAGAAAAAACCGTAAAATTACACGCCGCGAGTGTATACAGTGGCCAAAAGCTTGCAATAACAAATGTCGCGACTTTTCGACCACTGCAGCAGCTCGAGAGCTGTTGCGCAATAGGCATATAGAGCCCGCCATGCAGAGACGAATGAGGACGAGCAGCTATCCTACTGCGGACGTCGACTCGAAACTTTGGACGCTGCTGCATTCTAGACGATGCCGAGCCGACGTCGTTATTAATACGCGGCCCACGATCGGATTAATCTCGAGATGCGTAATCGTCGTTTGACGTCGTGCAGTCGCTGCTACGACGCGCTCGAATAAAATATTCAACAAAAAGTAATTCAGTTGTGTACGAGTGCTGCACAAGCTGCGCGCAGGTGAAACGAGCGAACGCCTCGCTGGAATGCAGCGTATATAGACACAAACAAACATGCGTGCCGCTCGCAACCTGCAATTTGTATCGGGGCAAACACGCGCGAACCGGCGCATTACGGGAGCGAAAACAACCATTAGGACGAGCGCACCACGCGTTGCAGCTAATCTTTCGCGGGAAACATTTCCTTCGAACCTGACCCGCAGCTGTAATTTTCGTCGATGCGTCGCTTGCCCGTACACGTTTGTTTGAACAGCGATGTTGAACGCCGATCGTGTAGCGCACTGCATTCGCGTGCGAGTATTACTTGTGATTCGGCCACGATCGCAGTCTCGTGCCGCGGACGGAAAAATGTCGAGTGTCCCAGCGGTGATAGTATCGATCGATCGGCCGATCGTTTCTTCCGTGTATAATTCAGGCAGAGCGACGCGCTTCTTTTATCGCCGAGGAGGACTTTGTTTACGCTGCGCGCGGCGAGCGATCGGCCCGATCGTGTATTTTCGTCAGCGTTGATTCATCGTTTTAATCGAGCTTTATATTTATTCTCGCTGACCGATAATAGCCGACGACGACGAATCGCGATCGATCGCGTACACTCGAAAAAACACTCGGCCGATTTCAATTGCGCCTACTTACTTACCGTAACGAGCGCTTACAAATTATCCGCGCGTACGAAATTATGGAAATGGAGAGACGCGCGGAGAGGCGTGAGTCGGAGGCTAGCTCGCGTGCCTTATCTCCGAGGCCTACACTTTTGCACTTGCGATACTAGCACCGGAATTTTGGAGTGCGTTTATACACACCTAATTGCCTCGGCGCTAGCGCGTGACTCATTTAAATTTGCCTCCGCGTACGCAGAGCCTCGAGCCCCTGCCTCTCCTGTACAGTATCGTATACCGTAATGTACACAGCCACGGCCCGTTGTTATTATTTTTCTCCTTTTTATCTCTTTCCACTCTTCCCTTTAAATACACGCAGAGCGAGGATATAAATAAAAATTTTCACACCGGCCCGCCGCCGCGTGCCTGGTAAAAGAGCGATCCAAGCCAATTGTCCTGCGCGTACGTACATACTTCCGAGCATGCGGTGTTATCATTAGCCGTGGGTGTGAAAAAAAGCCTCGTGTGTGCCTCGAGCATCGGAAAAAAAGCTCGAAGAACGGGGGGCACTGCGTGTTGTACGGTGTGCGGGATGGTGTTGTCGGGACAATTTTATGCTCGTGTAAATACGCCGGAATGAAAAATTGAACGCTGCGAGAAGGAATAGATTTTATTGCTCTCGCTCGCTCGCGAGTATAATGAATA